TTTTCTGCCCTTTTCTCTTTTTCTCCCTGCTCTGCTTTCCTCTCCTTTCTCCTTCTCTCCCTTCTCCTTCCCTACTCCTCTCTCCTCCCCTCTCCTCTTTCCCTTCCCCTGCCCTTCTCCTTCCCCTTTCCTCCTTTTTAAAAATATCAGGCAGGTTTTCTGTGGTTTAAGGTAGCCTAAACCTTACAGTCTTCCTCTTCCTCCCAAATGCTAGGATAACAGTCCTATATCACCATGTTTGAGTCTTCAAAATATTTTTTTTATCAGTACAGTTTATATTTAACAAGAGCCATTATCTACCCACAGAAATTGCTATTTAGATTTAAGTAGCAAAATAAAAGAAGTTCTAGAAATGTAACAGTGTAGTTTTTCCTGACCCTCAAGAATGTAATCATTGTTAAGTGGCAGTTCACCCAAACAAGTACTTTTTCATGATAACCCATGCAGAGGTCTATTAATCACTTGAACTCTTATCTTTTCCTGCTTAAAAAAAGATCTTTGCCTATCAAAGTTGATAGATGTGAAGATAACTAAAATCTTGACTTTTCAATTATAAACTTTGCAGTTATTTATGTGTCAACATATTTCTTTTGGCCCTTTATGGTGGTATGTACTTTTAGTAGTTATCACTTGGGATTTGGTGGCTGGAAGATTGTGAGTTATATGCTATACCAAGAATAGCATGCTGAGTTTAATTCTCAGTACTGAGGGGGAAAAAGAAGTAGAGACTTTGCCCATTCACAATTACACAACAGCATAACAACAAAGTCACTGAGAACACATTTTCTCCCTAGAATTTACCTTGTAGCTAATAGTTTTGATTGTTCCATTTCTTTCATGACTGTTTTTAATCTGGCCAAAGCAACAATACTAAAACAAGAAGAATCTTTTTGAATTAAGCATCTTTTCTTTCAACACTCCTCTGGTTTGAGCAAAACAATACCACTAGCTGCTTCCCTTACCTAACACCATGCTTCCTTTCAGTCACATTAATTAACATTAGTAGAAGTGATGAGTGAAATAGACTGATGGTATCCCAGCAGAGGATGGAGGGGGGAAAGAGGAAGAGGGAGGTGCAGGATTACACTGCATGGAAAACCAACCAGATGTGGTTTTGATTGTGGGCATGGATTGAGGAGTTTATACTACAGAGTTGAGAATCTCTTCATTTGTATTCTAGACCTGTAGAAATTTGTATTACACAAAGCAAAGAAAAGCTGAAAATAGATCATACAGTCTTCACTGTCATTTAAGAACGATTGTAGTTTTCTCCCCAACAGAAAATCATTTAAAAAAAAATCTAACTCAAAAAGAGTTAGAGGAAACCAATCATGAAGTTTGGTAGGCATTTACCTTCATGGTACTGATACCCCCTGGGGCAGAAGCACTGTCCAGTGGCAAGACTAACCAAGGGCATGCTGACCAAAGGACACTAAATACCACTGCTGAAGTAATCTTTTCTATCTGCACTTACACAAAAGGCTGTATCTAGCACTCTTCGTTTAAATATTTGCATTTACTGACATGCCAAAGTTCTTCTTTGGTGACTAAACATAAAGTTTCAAGACCTGAATAACAGGCTATGGAGAAATAACCAATACTTTTGTGGCTTTGTTCTTCTCAGTATACAATGTACATGCAGTATTCTGTGAGTGATTTCAAAGAAAAATGTAAAAATTCTTATTTTGAAAAAAAATCTACAAAATCCAAATATTCATAAGTTTCTTATTAAGATAAATTTAATGCTGGAGGTGGTGATACAAAATTGTAATTCCTGCAACTTAGATAGAGGAAGACCATGAGTCTGAGGATTTTCCAGGCAAATTTAGTGAGATCCTTCTCTCTCTCTCTCTCTCTCTCTCCATGCTTCTGCTTGAGGCCCTGGGCTCAATCTCCATTGTCACCTCTTGCCAAAAAATTACTCATGCAGTATGTTCTAATTAAATTAAACTTTCTTCACTATCTATTAATATAAGTTCATCCAATCACATTAATCTTCTAAAGGAAAGTTTCTTTCCAATATTATCAATTTTATATTTTAAAGTTGTGGGATTTTTATTAAATTAGGAAAAATTTAATTTAAAACTCCTATTCTTTTATGATGAATTTCAGTTTCAGTTTAGGTTTCTACCATTTCCTATTTTACTTTAATATAATATTTCAGTGCATAGCTGATAGATACTATTCTTTTCTTTTGCTAGGTAAAATAGTATGAATAGGCTTGGATTTGTAAATTAGTAATACAAATATGCCCAATGGATTGCATGCTTTCTCATGCTCCAGGAATAAGATCTGGAAAAGGCTAGCCTAACCACTGGTTATGAGTAATAGTGCCAATTCTTTCTAGGAAGTCCAAAGTACAATTCTTACTTTATCCAATTTAGTAATTTCCATTTCGTAAGTTAGAACATTATCTCTATTTCATTTCCAGTATAGTTTTTTTGGATTTTGAAAAAAGATTTTCTCAGGCAAAAATAATTATAATTTGATAGGCAGATAGTTTCCAAAAGCATACATTTTATTATATATAGTTCATCCAAAAAAGCAAGTCTGATATTCCCTAGCAGAATTTCTTTGATTCATTAATGAGAGAAAGGAAGATAGAAAGAAAGAAAGAAAGAAGGAAAGAAAGGGAAAGAAGGAAAGAAAGGAAAGAAGGAGAGAAAAGAAGCATTTCTCTGTTATATCTTTTAAAAATACTTAGTGCTTGAACTTGGGGCTGGGGTGCTGCCCTTGAGCTTATTTTGCTCAAGGCTAGCACTTTACCACTTGAACCATAGTTGCAATTCTGACTTTTCTGGGTGGAAGCTTATTTGAAATGAGTCCCTCAGACTTTACTGACTGGGCTGGCTTAAAACTGTGACCCTAAGATCACAGCTTCTGAGTAGCTAGTACTACAAGCATGAGCCCTGGGCACTAGGCTCTTGTTCTATATATTAGAAAAAGTCAATTTCCTCCTGATTGGTTCATATGTCTTCATTTTCATAGCAGAAGGATAGAGGAAGACTTAGGTCTTAGGTACGGATCCCCCTGGAGTGGAGAGAATGAGGAAGAAATGTGTTTAAAACATTAAAAATTATCTTTGCTTTGTTCTTAGTCAATGTATGAAATTGATTTTGAAATCTGAGAGACTCTTATCTCCAATAAAACTACTAGAAAACTGGAAGTGGTGCTGTGGCTCAAGCAGTAGATCACTCGCCTTGAGCTGAAGAGCTGGGGCATAGTGCCCAGGCCCAGAGTTCAAGCCCCACGACTGACAAACAAAAAAGAAAAGGAGGAAGGACAGGGCTCAATAGGCAAAAACTATTCCTGAATTTTGACTTTCTCTAATACTCTATGCATTCTCAGACTGGAGAAAGGATTGAAGCTCACAGCTGTGATGGAATTCCAAGATGGTTCTCAAGATGTCCAGTGCCTGACGTGCACACCTCCTCTCAGGTTTTGCACAAACTCTGGCGCTGTTCTGAGGAAGTTTTTGCAGATAAAATCTAAGTCTTCAAATCAATTAACCTGTAGATAGAGAGCTATTCTTCACTAGAAATGCTGAACAGAGGAACTGACCATACCAATAGGATTCTTTCTGAAGAAAGAGATTTGAATCAATAGATCATTTCCAGTGCTGGATTTGGAAACAGAGGGGCTCCTGGGCCAGTGGATATGGGCTGCCTCTGGTAGCTGAGGTAGTCCTCTGCTGAGAGTCAGAAGGTAGCTAGGATTTCCAGCCTGCAGTTGCAAGGAACTGAATTCTTCCTGTAGCTTGAATGCGCTTGAAAGCCAAGTCTCATCCAGGACCTCCAGGAAGGAACAGCACCTTGCTTTTTGAAGATCAGGAGCAGAGAACCCAGCCATCCTGTGCTTGAGCTTTTCATCTACAGATTTAAATCATTTAAGCTATTTGTTGCTATGCAACAACAGAAAACTAATACAAAAAACTGCAATTTGAAAAGGTTTCTAATTTGAATAAAGAAAGTCATTTTTTTAAACTGCTGCCGCAATATTCTGTTGAATGTGTGTGCTATCATTCATCTATGCATTAGCATAGTTTTTGCAATGGGAAGAATATTTTGGAGCTATTATGAATAAAGTTGCTAAAAACAGAAACAAACAAGAAAGTAAGAAAGGGGAAACCTGTTAGGCAGGAATGAAAGGCTACCTGATGCCTATGAAGAATGTCTAGCATTCTCATAGCTAGCAGATGCAGTTAGCACGCAGGGTGCCCTTGCATGGACTGTGGTGGGAACATTATCACTGTCACTTGGGTCCGCTTTCAACCCAGTATCTCTTTAACTAAAAAATCTGCAGACATTTTTCTGTTGGATCAAAGTACTCTACTTCATCTTTAGGCCAGAGTTGGTATGGAAACTTCTTAGCATCTTGTTGTTTTTAATGTTGCTGTGAGATTTTATTTCTGTGCATTTGAGTGACATTAGCCTCTTACCAAAAAGTGATTTCATAAGAGGGAAAAATAGCTTGGTATATGTAATATCTTAGCATATGTAATATCTTAGCATATGTGTATGAGTAATGGTTTCATTATCTGTAGAAAAAAAGCATATTTAGATTTAATAAACAGACGGTTTGGGTCTTAGTTTTCTTTTTTAGTATTTCTTCCTGACACATAAAGATATTTGTTGAGTTGCATTTTTCTGAACATCAAAAATTTAAATCTTTCACATTTGACATACCACCTAAAGAACATGGTAATGAATAAAAGTTACAAAGCATTTTACACTCTTATGTGACATTTGACAAGGTCTTTCACATAACTTCAATAAAATGATTAAGTCTTGTGGAAAGGAAAACAGTTTCAAGTGGCAAACTTACGCAAGGATTTAGTTAAACATATTTTTTTCTTTTGGCAAGAATATGATGGTTTTGTAATCAGTTGGAAGCCAAGGAAATACAAGCAGAATCTAGTTAATAATCTACAATTATTGGTTAAGGAAGTATATTAGTGCAAATTTCCCTGCATCCATCCTACTTTTCTCTCCTGTCAACCCCACAAGCCTTTGGCACAATGAAGTGGGTAACTTTTATTTCCCTCCTTCTTCTCTTCAGCTCTGCCTATTCCAGGGGTGTGTTTCGCCGAGATGCACGTAAGACATCAGGTTTTTTAACTTTTTTTTTCCTGATGAAAGAGCATCAGTTAATGATACATCTTTATAGAATGGAGCTTTCCTTTGGCATTGTTTATAGAATGTGGTGTTTTATATTTGTGAACGCTTATGTGGTTATGTGTTTAATGTATTTCAAATGCCTTCGAATGTAAATGGTGAGAATTGCTTAGTGAATATAATCTGCATGTGGAGGAAAGCTATACAGAATGACTTAAACTTCACAAAATACAAAAAGGTACATAGGAAAAAAAGATAGAATTCTTCCATATTATTTAAAAAAAGCCTGTGTTATTAATATAAACAGAACTTGCATTTATGCCTAATTTTATTTCAGTGTCTTCTTGTTAGCTGTTCATCGACATTATATGATCATTAAATGTCATTCAGGTTTCAGGATAAAGCTATAATATTTCTTATTTAAACATAGTTTCTTTGGTGATTGAGTAACATTCATTTTGTTCTAGAAGACATAGTTTACTATTGTTTTAAGATTTACTACAAGAATCGGAGTTCAACATTCCAATGACAATGAATAACATGAATTAAACAGAAAGATACGGAAAAAGTGTAAAAAAAGTGAAATCATAACTAGTTGCTATCTTCAGTGTTTCAACATATCATGTTTTTTCCTTCTCCTCCAGACAAAAGTGAGATTGCTCATCGATTCAATGATCTGGGAGAACTACATTTCAAAGGCCTGTGAGTTCAACTACTGAAGAGTCTCACTTAGGGTTTCTTCTGCCATCTGTTACTACTTAAAGTGCTGACATCCATCTTGAGGGACTAGACTGGAAAGGGTTGCTGTCCAATAGACTGCATTGATGGAAATGTTCTGCCTTTTTGCTGACCAATATGGCAGCACTGGCCAGATGTAGCTATCAAATACTTTAACCATTGTGAGTGCAGTTGAGGAAAATAACATTAGTTGTGTTTAATTTTAATTGTAAAGAGTTCTACAGGGTTAGTGGATTTTGTATTGGATAGCAAAAATCTGAAACTTTCAAATAACTTGGGAACTCTGGAATTCTTGTACAGTGGTGGAAAGACAGTAATGTATGGCTCTTTTACCAAGAAGTCCTGTGGTTTCTTGAGAACATTTTTAACTCTGTGTGTGTGTGTGTGTGTGTGTGTGTATGTGTGTGTGGTATTGAGGTTATAATTCAGAGCTTAAAATATGCTAATCAAGTATGCTGTTATAGAACCACATTTCCAGCTGTAATAATTTTTTAGTTTAGTAAGAAACAAAATACTGGTTTATATTTGAAAGCCAGTATCACCCTATAGTTTGAGCAAATGAAGTGTGTGTATGTTAGTTTTTTGACTTAAATAACTCAAAGAACTTATATAATCCCTAGTCTTGGCAGATCTATTCTGTATATAGTTTTCTTATTTCCTCTATGTGTCCATACACTTCCAACTACATGTGTGTGTATATAAATATAAATATCTTAACCCCCACTCCTCTTTGCTGGACCTGGGCCTTGAATTCAGGGCCTGGGCACTGTCCCTGGGCCTTTTTGTGCTCAAGGCTAGTGTTCTACTACTTGAGCCACAGTGTCACTTCTGGCTTTTTCTGAGTACTTTATTGGAGATTGGAGTCTCATGGGCTGCCTGGGCTAGCTTCTTTCTAACTGTGATCCTCAGATCTCAACCTCCTGAGTAGCTAGGATTATAGGCAAGAGCCACCAGCACCCTGTTTACATGTACACATTTCATATGGTAGAAATACTTATTTTCTCAGGAAGGCTCACAGGCCTGGCCTATTGTTGTAAATAGGCCTTTTAGATTATTATGAGAAAGAGACAGAAAACATAGTGGGTACATACATACATTTGCTATCTAGACTAGTAACCTGTTTTGTATCAAATTTTCATTGTGCTATATACTTCTCTTTCTTCTTTCAGGGTCCTGATTGCCTTTTCTCAGTTTCTCCAGAAGTGTCCCTATGAACATCATATGAAATTAGTCAATGAAGTAACTGAGTTTGCCAAAACTTGTGTTGCTGACGAGTCAGCTCCAAATTGTGACAAATCAGTTGTAAGTCCATCTGGATTTTGAAGATTGTTTCTTCTACTTAAGTATTCTGAATATTTCATAGGAACATTCTTTTTCACTTAAAACTTTGTATTAAATGTTTAAATCATAACCAATGTTCCAAAGTTGCTTAGAGACTAAGCTATTGTTTTTTCTGGGGCAGATTCATGGTAGCTGTGTTTACAATTTCAAAAATATCTTTTGGAGACCACACCCACAGCCATCATAGTTTTTAAAATGTCAATTGGCCTCTTGCAACAGATTCCTCAAGAAAGTAAAATTTGACTTTTTTTCATAGAGCTTAATTAGTTTATATGTGTTGGTCAATTATGTTTTATTGATGTTGGAACCTTGGACATTAGATATAAGTTCCTCAATATTTGTATGTTTAACAAGTTATTGTTGACGCCAGGTACAAAATTGTAAAGCAGCTTTTCAGATTTTATTCATCTTACCTAACTGAAGTCTTATGCAGGTTGAGTAGAAACTTCCCATGTCTTTCCTGCCCAGGCAGCCTCATGAAAATTAATTAATTAATCAATTACCCAACAATTAATTTGTTAATTATAGTAATCTACTTAATCCTTCATAGACCCAAGCTACATTTCTAATTAAATCATTTTTTAAGTTTTATTATCTCTAAGTGGTTATACAAAGGAGCTGCCATTTAATGAAGCTGTTTATAGTTATTCAAATTTTTGATTCTGTGAATTGGACTACTTTAGATACCTGAGCCAAATGGAAGGGTGCAGTATTGCTTTCGTTGACTGGATTATTGCTCTAATATTGCATCCTTCAAGTTAAATTATATGGGCACCAATTATTTTGTCTTCTTTTTCTGACTGAGTAATATTCCCTTATATTTCTAGACAAGTCTTCTTAATTCATTTTATTTATGCATTCACTTGTCAATGGATGTGTAGATTGTTTACGCATTGACTATGCACTGAATAATGCTCAGGGAATGTGAGAGTACTAAAGTAATGGAAGTAAGAGTGTGATTTTTAAAAAGTACTCATCTGTATCAATTTTGTTATCTCCATGAAATATCAGGATAGCATTTTGCTGCTCCTTTTAGTCCCATGAATATTTTTAAAATAATATGAAAGCAGAGTACTCAGTCATTATGAAACATGGAAATTTTTGGTATCTTGAAATAGGTCTTCAAAAGAAGAGGCCTATATTTTCCTTACCACTCAAATGACATGTAGACTAGATCATATTTAACTTGTCACTAAAGCATTTCCTCTTACTTTTATCTGCAATAATCTCTCTCTCACTCAGACTCACTACCTTAACTCCATACAACACTACACTTCTATGGGTTAAAATTTTAAGATACATTTTTGAAATATTAATAAATTCTATCAAAAGCGATATATGGAGTTACAAAACCTTTCATAATAAAAACTAATGACCAAGAGAAGAATTTAATTAAAGATTTTTTTTGAATTAAAGTTTTCTGAGTAAGAAAAGGAACTGTTTTATTGTGGTAAAAATAAGCCGTAGGGGTGTTATTTCTCAGCTTTTAATAGCATGTTCTAAAATTTGGGCCTTTCAAAAAGTAGCAAGTCAAAATGAAAAATTGGACACTCTACTCCCTAATGTGAATTCTGTTGGCTCTTTAAACACTTTGAATTTTGCCATTTTGGCCACTCTTCTAAATCTTTAGTACTTTATGGGTGGCAAAGAAATACTTCATAGAGCCTCTAACTGTCTCGTATGTGTCTATTTTATTGATCATAAATAATACTGTAGCAGCAGATTGTCATGAAATTATACAGTTTCCAGGGAAACTAAATACAGCCTGGCAAATATTTTATTAATTAAGATTTTTCTTGGTAAGTTCTATAGTTTTTAGTCCATCACATTTTTTTTCTGAATTTATTTTTCGTTGATACATAAAACATACAGTAATATATGTTTAAGGGATATCATGTGATGCTTTAATGCATGTATACTTCATAGATGCATAAACATACGATGTGTATGCTTTCCTTTTATCAGCATATTAGGCTTACCTTATTGCTCTACTGCTCACTGACTATAAAGAAAACAAGGTGATTCTCATTAATTTCAAGACTTCTCTCTCCTATCTAGGCCACTCTTTTTGGAGATAAGGTATGTGGCCTTCCATCTTTTCGAGAGCACTATCCTGAGATGGCTGACTGCTGTGGTAAACAAGAACCTGAGAGACACGAATGCTTCTTGCAACACAAAGATGATAGCCCTAACCTGCCTCCCTTAGTGAGACCCGAGCCTGAGGCCATGTGCACCGCCTTTCAGGAAAATGAGGGCCCATTTTTGGGACAGTAAGTAACTGAATGTGTATGTTTCAAATTATAAAATAAAGAATAACCCTGCAGGCAGGTCTGTACTTTTGATAGCAATTATCATACATTAAGAGTTGGAGGTTATATGTGTAGATTGATTTTTTTTAAGTAATATTTGATCTCATAAAATTCTACACAACAAATACATGTTAAATGTTTTTTTTTTTAAATCTAGAAACAGGATAGGACCTGTTCCATAAGTATAAGAGTGGCATGTTTTAAAATATATATACATATATATGTACATATACATATATATGCATACAAGATACAGGTATTTTCAGAATTGATTTCATTATAGTCAGCTACATTAGGTCATTTACACATCAGGATATTTATCTATTTACATACACACAGCAATTTGGTCTATTATAACTCAGAATGACAAATTGAATTTGATAAATTACAAGTCCGTGATGATTGAATATTTGGGGAGGAAATATTGACTCGAATTGTTCCTGCAATATTGTGTTCCTGCACAACCATGATGATCTGTTTCCTTTTTCACAAAATGTAGTTATTTGCATGCAGTGGCCACAAGACATCCTTACTTCTATGCCCCAGATCTCCTTTACTATGCTGAGAAGTACAAAGACGTGATGACAGAATGCTGCCAAGCTGCTGACAAAGGGGCTTGCCTGACACCAAAGGTAGTCCTTCAGAAGGAGAAGAGCCAGCTCACCATGCAGCCTCGGGTTTTGGCCATTTTATCCTGGATTCAGGAATCCTAGCTCTCTGATAGAAAGTTCCTGCATGGTCAAAAGAGCCTTGAAAGAGGGGGGAAGGAGAGGGAGACGGAGAGAGAGAGGGGAAGGGAGAGGGGGAGGGAAAGGGAGAGAGGGGGATGGAGAGAGAACCCACAACTCCAACTCCCTATCTGGTGCTGGCTTTTGCTCATTGGTTGGCACTCTACCACCTCAGCCACCACTGCAACCCTAAGTGTTGGTTATTTCTTCCCCTCTCCTGCACTCACGCTCTTTTTTTTTTTAATTTTTATTTTATTTGTGAACATACTGTACAGAGGAGTTACAATTACATGGGCAGGATAATACGTACATTTCTTACCAAGCATTGCAGCCTCCTCCTTTGTTTACCCTTCACATACCTTCCCAGCCTCCCCCCTCCCCCGCAATCCCAATCCTTCTCCTTACCCCCCCTTACCCTCACCCCACTTATGTTGTCCCAAAGAGCTTTCTTTTTCTCTGGGGAGCCTAGTATCCTGGGGGTGGGGGGGCTGACATACAGATCTGACATGGCAGATGGAATCTTCCTGCCTGTGTTCAAATGTCAAATGTCCTACCATTCTGAATGCTGGCTGGTGATTGCATCAGTGAAGGACCACAGTTTTTGTTTAATTCCTCAGGAGACGTGTGTGTGTGTGTGTGTAGGGCATTCAGAGTAGAGAATTTGCTGAAGTTAAAAGCCAGAGGTCATTTAGTTTTTCCATAAATGATCATGTGCTTCATTCCCTTTCCTGGGAGAACTCGTTGATTTTCTTTTTGTTGTTGTTGTTGGTCGTGGGGTTTGAACTCTGGGCCTAAACACTATCCCTCAGCTTTTCAGCTCAAGGATAGCATTCTACCACTTGAGCCACAGTGCCACTTCCGGTTTTCTGGTGATTAATTGGAGATATGAGTCTCACAGACTTTCCTGCCCGGGCTGACTTTGAACCGAGATCCTGAGATCTCAGCCTCCTGATAACTAGGATTACAGGCGTGAGCCACCGGGCCGGCTCATTGATTTTTTTATTTTTTATTTTTTCCGCTCTCAAGCTTAAACTTGGAGCCTGGGCGCTGTCCCTGAGCTCTTATTGCTCAAGGCTAGCGCTTTACTAATTTTTTTTTTTTAACTTGTACTTCTCATTGTTGCATCAGATCCACCTGTGCGCTTTACTAATTTGAACCACAGTGCTACTTCAGGTTTTCTGGTAGTTAATTGGAGATTAAGACCTGCCTGCCCAGGTTGGCTTTGAACCAAGATCCTCAGATTTTAGCCTCCTGAGTAGCCAGGATTACAAGCCAGAGCCACCAGCTCTCTGCCAACTTCATTGATTTTATGGGAGCTAGTGGAGGTGGGACTGAAGTGAATTGTGCCAAAGCTATCTTGTCAGCACAGTTTATTTCCTGGCATATTAATGTGTTCTCACAACAGTGTACCCCCCACCCGGGCAATGTCAATTTGCTCTTCAACATCTGCTTTGGCATATTTCATTTGAGTTTATGGAGGTCTGGTAAAGAATTTTCCTTTTCTAACTTTTTCAAATGGATTTCATTTTGTAGTTAGATGCATTGAAAGAGAAAGCACTGGCTTCATCAGCCCAACAGAGATTCAAGTGTGCTAGTATGGAGAAATTTGGAGACAGAGCTTTCAAAGCATGGCAAGTATATAAGTATAAAAATGTTTATAGAGCTATAAAGTATATATGTATATATAAAGTATATATGTATATGTAAAGTATATGCACATATATATAAAGGAAAATTTAAAGAAAATGTCATCCTTTTAATGATGTATTGTTTAGTTGGCAAAATTATATTTGGCAATTTACATAATATTTTCAATTCATTATTTTGTTTGTCTAAAACATAGTGAGAAAAGTAAGCCAGAAAGAAGAAATAATTTGACTAGAGTTTTGTATTTTTCATCTTTTAAGTTGTCAAACAAACTTGAAGTCATGGTCTTTTTTTGTCCTAAAAAGACAGATAATTAGTTGTTGATCATCACTGGCTTATGCCTGTAATTCTAGCTACTCAGGAGTCTGAGACCTGAGGGAAGTAATTTGAAGCAAGCCCAGGCAGGTAAAAGCTTGGGACGCTGCTTTCCATTTAACCACTCAAAAGCTGAAAGTTCATGGATTGGTGGTTCATTAACCTTGAGTGAATAAAGCTAAGAGACATTGCACAGGCCCCAATTTAAGCCCCACTACCAACTCAAGAAAGAAAAAAGGAAAAAAGGAAAGAAAGAAAGAAAAAAAGGAAGAAAGAAAGAAAGAAAGAGGACAGATACTTCAATGAGTTTAATTTATAAAGTCTAGGGATCTTATTTTAATGGTTATTGTTATTAGTTTGCAACCAGTAGTCAGGCTCTTTATTTTATTTTTCTACTCAGTCTGAAAGTGTCTATTTATGTTAAGATCATTAAATTAGTCCATTTATTAAGTATTTACTTCGAACCTTCTCATAATTCATACTTTGTTGTTAGCTTCAAGCCTTTATGGAGGCCATAGATTTTGTATCACTTAACTGATTCTTGAATTAGTTAATCCTTGAATATTTGGGCATAGAAAATTACTGCCTGTCCCTCTGATTCCTTGTCCATTAGTCAGTGACGAATTAACATTGTGGGGGACAAACTGAAGATGACAGATCTTCCATGCTCCTCAGCAATTATCAATTGAGGTATTTTTGGTCACCAATCCTCCTATTCAAATCACCAGATCAAACCAAACAATGCACAGAGCAAACCTACTGGTAGTAGGTTTCAACTACCAGTTGAAAACAACTTGGTAGTTAGTTACACAGGTTGTGATTTGTTCTGGGAAAGGAATCTATTTTATCCAATTTAGATCATCTGAAGTGATTTTGGACAGAAGAACCTTAGCATATTACATCTTGTCATAGAATATAGAGCCTGGAACAACAGCAACAAAAATTGCTGGAACAAGTCCTTGTTTTAAAAGTAGGCGTCATAAAAACTTCCCCATTCTGTAGCATTTGTAGAATTTGGATTTGTATTATCAGAGATCTGTGGAAGTCAGAATGAATATGTTATTTAATGAAAAGATAACTGATGTGTGTGTGTGTGATACTTTTCAGATTTCCTAATTTAATCCCTAGTGTAGTCCTTTGATATAATATATTGTGTTGAAATTTCCAAGGCTGAGAGAAAGGCTAAGTAACTTGGCTATAGTCACATTGCTAAGACGTGAAGGCAGATCTAGCTCCAAATTTGATATACTTTAGACCTTTGCTGATCTTTGTTTTTTGATTTTGAGAATCACTGATTCTCAATCCACCACACACTCTGTTACAATGCATAATTCTGCCCAATGAATAAAAAAGGTAACTGATTAGCTCCAACCTAACATTAAAATAAGCAATAAATTAAAAGAATTTCTCTAAGGGCATCTTGAGTTTTCTTGCATACATGGTATTTTCCTAGTGTTTCCACATAACATATTATAAGATACTCATATTTTGTTGGGGCAATTTTTTTTTAGGTCACTTTCTCTTCTGAGCCAGAAATTTCCCAAAGCTGACTTTGCAGAAATTTCCAAGATTGTTAAGGATCTGACTGAAGTCACCAAGGAGTGTTGCCATGGCGATGTGCTTGAATGTGCAGACGATAGGGTAAAAGGCCACTTATTTATTTTGGGGTGTTCACAGGCTTAAGTAGTAGAATGAATATTGTATGCTGTCGTGTGGGGGCTGAGGGCGGCTCATATGGTCTTCTCTGTTGCATTTGCTCTGTCTCCAAGCTTTTTTGTGGTGACATTTTTAACCTGCAACCTAATCACTAAGTAACCTAAAAAGATGTTCATTGTTATGTAACTCTTATCAGTCAAACTAATGAAGGATACAAGCTTAACCTGAAGGTGGAGCATTATGAAGGGAGATTTCTAGGATACTTTGAGGAGATAGAAGGAGTTGGGTAAGAGCAATATGTAAGAAAAATGATGTATTGTTTCCCACTTAGTGTTAATTATACCAATATTCAGCACAGTCTACTTTTCTCTCAATCTGTATTTTGTCTCTTCTTCAAACCTTAAAAATGTGAGCAGATCAGAATCCTCATGTATCATGATAATCCCTAGAAAAATCTAAGACATGTGTTATATAGGTAGGGTGGTGATCTTGACTCATTTTTCAAATATCTGCTATACTTCACCTGGTTGCTTGGTTTCAGAGTTGCAGTCGATATTTGGAAGAATGGCACTGAATCTTAATAAACTTTTAAGCATTCTGTCAATAGGCATATAGAATTAACTGAAAACTCAAATTAACAAAAAAATTAAAATAAATAATAACTTGTGCTTGACTAGTCTTTGTGATGCTGACAAACTCAGAGCTTCGTTCTTGCCAGCTGTAGAGTGGCAGCTGAGGCACAATGCAGGACTTCTGTTTTTAGGATGTTTTTCAGATAGAGTCTCCTGAGTTTGCCTGGCTTACCCTCTATTGTCAATCTCTTGCTGTTGTTCTTTAGAACCTGGAATTTCAGACGCAATCCACTATTCAACGATTCTTTGTTGAGATAGGGACTCACTGACTTTTTGTCTGTTGTGGGCTCAAAGTTTGATTAGCCAACCCCTATTTTTGAGAAATGCCACTGTGTGTGTGTGTGTGTGTGAGAGAGAGACAGAGAGAGAGAGAGAGAGAGAGAGAGAGAGACAGATACAGAGACAGAGAGAGACAGAGACAGAGAGACAGAGAGACAAAGAGACAGAGAGACAGAGAGACAGAGAGACAAAGAGACAGAGAGAAAGAGAGAAAGAGAAAGAGTTTGAGTGGGAATATTTAAGTCATCCTATCTGCATTTCAGGCTTCGGAATAATGACAAAAATCATGTTTATTATAAAAGGCACATCGTTTGTGTATGGTGTTAGGACATGAAGAAATTATTATGCATATCCAGAAAACCTATCTGGGGAAAACATAGCAATGCCAGCATATAACAAATATTTTTCATCTTGCTAACAGGCGGACCTTGCCAAGTATGTATGTGAAAATCAGGATTCAATCTCCAGTAAGCTGAAGGAGTGCTGTGACAAGCCTGTGTTGCAGAAAGCCCACTGCATTGCTGAGGTGGACAAAGATGACATGCCTGCTGACCTAACCCCCCTAGAGGCTGATTTCGTTGAGGATAAAGATGTTTGCAAGAACTATGCTGAGGCAAAAGATGTTTTTCTGGGCACGTAAGTAGACAAGTAGTCAAGATGTTTGCAAGAACTATGCTGAGGCAAAAGATGTTTTTCTGGGCACGTAAGTAGACAAGTAGTCTTCTTTGTATAGGTTTAATACAGCTACATCAATCAGGAAAATATAGGGGCTTTCTTTTTGAAATTAACAGAATCTTGTGCTGCCAAGAATGCCTCTTCAACGTCCTTTGTCCTGTCCTTAAACTTTGCATGATAAAAAGGAATCAGCTCAAAACTTTGTGATGAAACAGTGCATTCTCCAAGTAGAAGATCAATGTTCTTAGTGATATCAGTGCCTGGAAATATCGCTATCAATATTTTGCTTGTATATAAATTATGTGTATATATGGCTCATTCCTTCAATCACTTCTTCTAAGGGTATTGACCAAACATCTAAAGGTTATACATAAAAATAGAGGGTACCTTTTCAATCACCTATTGATATCTACATATCTGCATCTGTCCACCATTATGAAGGCAGCAGATATACATGAATAGAAAAGTATATAGTCTGGTCCCAGCTGGCGCACATTTGGATGAAGAACAGAATTTGAGTAGTGTGGTGAGGGCAATATGAAATTAAATAACAAATAAATATATACTTTCATTCAGCATAGTGATAAAATTTTATTAAGCATAGTGTTGTTGAATGATTTTGTTCCATACTTGTTATGCCCTATTGACTAAATATGGTACACATAATAATATGCTTACTATGCTCCAATAATGTGTCTCACAGGAGAATAAAAGGAACACATATATTAAATATATTAAATGTATGCATATACATGTGGATATCCATCTATACACATCTATATAACTTTCAGAGTTCTTTTTAGATATGATCAAATGAAAGTATGTGGAAAAATTGAAGTTATTGTTGTCAAACATGTAATATATGTCAGACAATGTATTTGTTGTGCATAGATTATGTCATGTATTTCTCACAACCCATCTTATGAGATCAATAGGAGAATCTCACCATTTGTTACAGGAGAAAGGTGAACTGAACCTTCTTGTAAAAGAGCCTTAAATCTGTACCCCAAGTCTCTTCCCACTAAATTTTACTGTGGAGGGATTGGGTATATCTAGCCTTTTGGAATATTACTGACCTCAGAATATGAGATACTCTTGAAGTTAACCTATATAATTCTTGTTGCCCATTTGTTCCACTAAATCTGTGTTCACCTCAATTAGATTCCTGTATGAGTATTCAAGAAGGCACCCTGACTATGCTGTCAGTATGCTGCTAAGACTCGCCCAGAAATACGAAGCCACCCTGGAGAAATGCTGTGCCGAAGCTGATCCTCCTGCCTGCTATGGCAAAGTGGTAGGTCCTTGCAAAAAGGAAAACTGTGACAGCTTGACAATTCTAAACACGAGAGAAAAAAACAACAAGACTAGGAAATCATCTCTCATGCAATTTGGGTATTTTCTTGAAAGCTATTCAGTTTGATACTCTTAAACATTATAAGGAAACTTGTTTTAGATACAATGGAGTCATAATATTCAACACCTATCCTATGAAACTAAGAAAATTGAGAGGTAGCGTTAAGAGGGCTGAGGGAGAATGATGAAAGGGGTGACATATATCAAGTTGCATTGTACTCACAAACTGCTTTGTTGAATGGTAGCTCCTTTGTTCTACTACTTAAAGATAATAAAACACAATTAAACAACAACAACAAAAGAGTCATCCAGGCGCCAGTGGCTCACACCTGTAATCGTAGTTACTACGGACTCTCAGTATCTGAGGATCACAGTTCAAAGCCAGACCAGGCAGGAAAGTCCATGAGACTCTTATCTCCAATAAATCACCAGAAAACCGGAAGTGGTGCCCTGGCTCAAGTGGTAGAGGGCTAACCTTGAGTTGGAGAGCTCAGGGACAGAGCTCAGGCCCATAGTTCATGTCCTATAAATGACCAAAAAAAAATTAGTCAAATAGGATGGCTGGTGAATCATAGAATGGTTGGTCTAAAAAAGAGATATAAAAACAGACATGTCTTCAAAGCCTTTGACCATCATTTTTCTCTTTCTCCATATTCTTGAGAACAAAGCAAGATACAATGAACTTAAATGTAAGCTGTTTAACAGATTGAGCTAAGAGATATAACAGAATTTAATGGACCCCAAAGTTGTCAAGTGCTAGAAATAATATCTCAAGCAAGTCAGTCTCAACACATAAAGTTAATAAGTTGAATGTAATATGACAGATGTGGTATTGAGGATCTACTCCTGTGTCTATGGGCAGAAAGGAGGAAGAGATAAAATATGACCTCTCTGGTCCTCAGGGGATTACTATAAATGGAATTTTTTTATGTTCCAGTTTGGCGAATTTAAGCCTCTTGTGGAGGAGCCTCAGAATTTAGTGAAACAAGCTTGTCAGCAGTTTGAGAAGCTTGGAGAATATACATTTCAAAATGAGTAAGTGCTTTTGATTATTTTTTATTGTTCAAGACCACATAGAAGCCATCTACTGTATGCCTTATAGTAATGAGAATACATTATATCTTTCTAATCCCTATATGTCAATAAATATGAATAGAGAAAAATAATTGATATGAGATGTAGGATGGAGTGGTATCAACCTGTGTCTTGTTTACAAATATGGTCTCTTTAGATTGAGAATTATTGGAGTAGGACCTTTAATAAAAAGTTTGGTACATTATACTGAGGATGTCCCTTTTAGGTTAGGGGATACTTCACAAGAAAATAAACTACAGCAATGTTTTCGAGTGTCAGAAGAAACTCAAGATGTGATATCAAAACTGAACATAAAGCATAAAAAATAGAATGCATATGTGAATGTTACATTTATAATAATTCATTTGGGAAAAATTTGAATTTGTAGGAGATATAGCTAAACTTGAATGGAATGGTTAGAGTCTTCTTTTCCTATATAGATAGTTCCTCCATAGAAGAGACAGAAGGTCCTGTGAGAGTAATATTCTAATTCAGTACACCCTTGTGTATTGAAAGTGAGATGTGGGATGGGAAACATCTTTCGTTGTGAAGTTCACATATACAACACTCTTCTAACTATAGACATCAGGGAAAACAATAATGAATCAGACATTGTTTTCGTTCATTGAGCAGATTACAGACATACATTGACTTTTCGTGATGACTGGCATTCTTCATAAGTGATCATTGCCTGTCCTGGTAATGTGCTAGGTTAATTGCATTCTTCATTTCTTTAAACTGAATCTTTGTGCCTTCTCTATAGAGTGAGATATAATTTACCCCTATTTTCACTCATGTATTTCAAGTTTCTTTGGATACTGATGTATATGAACTCCACAACAGGATTTATTGAAAGAAAGAAGCAATATTAAATGCATTAGCTACATTGAGATATAATAATATATATAATATAATAAGATAACTCAATTTCCTAAGCTTATAAGAGAAATCTAAGACAATACTTTTTGGCATATGAATTCAAAACAATGTTTCTTGAGTTGCTTAGCATAAGGCTTTCTTGTAACTATGGCACTATCCAGGAGATGAAGATAATTTGTTGAATGGAAAATAGGAGCACTTTAGTTGATATTGTAAATTTTTCTCTTCTCAATATACTATGTTAAATAATGACAATGTTTTATCTATATAAAACCCCATGAATTTTTTTTGTGCCAGTCCTGGGGCTTGAACTCAGGGCTTAGGCACTGTCTCTGAGCTTCTTTTGCTCAAAGCTAACACTCTACCTCTTGAGCCACAGTGCCACTTCCAGCTTTTTCTGTTTATGTGGTGCTGAGGAATTGAACCCAAGGCTTCATGCATGCTAGGCAAGCACTCTACCACTAAGCCACATTCCCAGACCTGGACCACTTTTTTCAAACAGGCTTATAGTTCGTTACACCAAGAAAACACCTCAGGTAGCGACGCCAACTCTTGTGGATGCTGCAAGAACCCTAGGAAAAGTGGGCACCAAGTGTTGTGGTCTTCCTGAAACAGAGAGACTGCATTGTGTTGAAGACTATGTGAGTCTTTTATTTGACCAATTTGTTAACAATGATCTTTTTGTCTTTAGATATCGACAATCTAATTTTTGGGAGTACTGATAGTTTAACCATTTTGTGTGTGTGTGTGTGTGTGCGTGTGCGTGTGTGTGTGTGTGTGTGTGTTAGTAGCAGCCAGGGTTTGTTTACCTATATTATAGTGAATTCCAAAATTGGGACTAAATGTGTCAAAGGCAACAATGTGTTTTGAAAAAAAGTCATCTGTCTTTATTGGCTGTTCCTAGCCTTTTAGAAGTCTTCCTAGCATTTTCTAAATTTTTTCTTCAGGTATCTATTTCTTCCTCCTCCACCTCTTCCAACAGCACCTTAGGATATATAACCTCAAATGATTTTTTTAAGTGTGTTATTTTTAACCTCTAAATATACTCACTTAACATTCAGCATTAGAAAAAAAATCCTTTGTATTTAGGTCTGAATGTAAAGAAATTGCTTCCTCAATAAATATTGGATGTAAAGTTGCACGTTTATGTGGTACTATGTTTGGGAAATGATTGTTTATAACATTTCCAACTTTACTTTCTTTGATTTTTTTCTGTACTATTTTCCCTGCTCTTTAGCTGTCCCTGGTGCTGAACCAGTTCTGTACGCTGCATGAGAAGAACCCAGTGAGTGAGAGAGTCACTGAATGCTGCACTAAGTCTTTGGTGAGCAGGCGACCTTGCTTCAGTGCGCTGCCAGTGGATGAAACCTATGTTCCCAAAGAGTTCAACGCTGAAACGTTCACCTTCCATGCTGACTTTTGTGCACTTCCAGAGATGGACCAACAGCTCAAGAAACAAATGTGAGTGGTATTTCATTACTGCTTGTGTTTGTAAATTTGATAAATGACAATTGAAGAACTGATTCTAATATAGCCATTATATTCTTTGGGGAAAAGCATCTAAGTGTTACCCTTATTAAGCTAATAAAATTGTCAAGAAGTAAAGAATGACATTTTTCTTAACAATATAACACACATAATATATGTGTGTGTGTGTGTGTGTGTGTGTGTGTGTGTGTGTGTGTGTGTGTGTGTATGTATATATCAAAATCCAAATTTTTTTTTGGTCGGTGGTGGGGCCTGAACTCTGGGTCTGAGAGCTGTCCCTCAGCTCTTCAGCTCAAGGCTAGCGCTCTACCACTTGAGTCACAGTGCCACTTCTGGCCTTTTCTGCCTATGTGGTGCTGAGGGATCAAACCCAGGACCTCATGCATGCAAGGCAAGCATTCTACCGCTGAGCCACCTTCCCAGCCCCAAATTTTAAAATATCCATTGTTATATATAAAACACATATTTTATTATATTATTCTATATTTTATTATATATAATATATATAAGCTTGCCTGCAAATTATTCAGTGATTTTTTTTGGATAAAAACCACTTTAGAATAAAATCTCAGGCTATCCTATGAGAAAAAGCTATAGAACTTGCTAGTTATTTTTATAGACATTTATTTAAAACATGGGGTGATTTGCAACGATTTTCTCATTTGGTCCCCTCATCAAGGCTAGTAGGGTGGATGGTATGGTAAGCATATACAGATAAGAATAAGAGGTAATCGAATGCCTGAGCCTTGTCTAGAGTAGCCTGCCTCTGAAACTCCTAATCTTCACCGATAACACGACCATCCTTGCCCTCTCCACACTTTCTTTTTGTGAGTAAACATTTTCCTGCTCTTTCTTCCTTTTTGTATCCAAATACAGGACAATTGCTGAGTTGGTGAAACACAAGCCCATGGCCACGGAGGAGCAACTGGCCACTGTTGTGGGGAAAGTCTCAGCTTTTCTGGATAAGTGCTGCAAGGCTGATGATAAGGAGGCCTGCTTCGCTGCAGACGTACGGGAGTTGTTCTCCTTTCTATATGTAACCTCCATTTCTGGGCCTGAGCTCTGTCCCTCAGCTCTTTAGCTCAAGGCTAGCACTCTGCCACTTGAGCCACAATGCCAGTTCTGGTTTTCTGGTGGTTTATTGGAGATAAGAGTCTCATGGACTTTCCTGCCCAGGCTGGCTTTGAACCACGATCCTGAGATGGCAACCTCCTGAGTAGCTAGGATTATAGGTGCGAGCGAGCCATCAGCTCCCAGCAGGGCTTAGGCATTTATATTTACACGGAAGGGCAGGAGGAGCACAGCTGAGCCTATGTACATATGTACAGTCGTCTTGCACAATGACTTCAGGTGTTCTTGGTTTTTATCTCCTGCTGTGCTGTAGCACAACATTGAACATTTATGATGCCTTAACTATTCCAAGTTCAGAATACTGAGAGAAATATTTTTAGATTCTGAAACAAAGCACTAACTTACTTCAGCATATTTGTAAAAAGGGCTGGTTTGTGAGTTGATTGATTCTATAGTTTACCCAGGGACATTTAAATTTAAATAGCTCAACCTTTTAGTAATATCTTCTGATAATAGTTCTTCCTTTTTGGAAACAATGGTAATCAGACAGATTATAGATAATATTTATGTATAAACAAATATTTATTTTTATGTGAACACATGCTTTTTTGTTTATATATAAGTAAATATATGTATATTTTTTGTACACAAATACATATGTACATGCAAACATATATATAAATATACAAATTTGTAATTCATGTGAAATCATTATGTCACCACCAATGAGTATAAAAATTGCTATGTAAAAAATTCTAATAGTTGGGGAGGTGGGGCGGGAAGGCTTTGTAGGACAAAACAATGCTCGATGGGAAATGTACTCATGTAGTAGTAACGCTCACATCTTCCAACATCTGTCCTTTCTCACATTCAGGGCCCAAAGGCTGTTGCTGAAAGTCAAGCTGTCTTTGCTTAAAACATCAAAATCACAACCATCTCAGGTAACTATGGATTACCTTAAAAATCTAATTATAATCAATTATGGTTAAAATATCAAAGTTGACTCTTTGTCAGGAGCCATAGAGACAAGCATCAGCCATTGTCCTTAGTTTTGCATGTGTGGTAACTATCCATACATGCATACACAGAAATACATATGGATAATTAATTATCATAATAGTGGCTGACTCGGGAGCCATTATTATTCCCCTTTTGTAGATGAGACAATGAATTCATAGATAAGGATGCCCGTTAGGTCAGCAATCATGCTAGTGTAAAGGAAAAGTAAATTCACAATTCAGCTTAAGAGTTACCTGGAAGCTTATTCTGACACATATGATGTAGTGCAAAGCTTTTTCAATAGTGATGGCCCAGTGGGGAGACAGTCTATGTATTAGGCATTTAGGGGGAGATAAGAAAATTGTTGAACATTGATGGTTTCATACAATTCAGTTTAATAGTTCAACATTTTACTGGCAGATGTGATAAACCTGGCTTATATGATCTTCCACTCTGTAATGAATAATAGTTTCTTACTAAATTTCCATTGTGTTAACATACTAAGCTTTAATAATTTTTTTCTTCTAGTGGCAATAAGTTCTACTCTAAAGTAAATACATAAATAGAATCATGACTGACCTATTTTCTTTGTAATAATTTGTACAGGATTTCAAAAACAGAATGTCAGTTGTTGAAAAGCAAGTTGGTTGGCAGGATAATACTGGTTACTTACTGTTCCAAGGAAACAAACTGTGCATCTCAAAACCTAGACAGATCAAAATGTGATTTTCTTCAGTCCTAAGTGGGAAGGTGTTTGTCCTAGAGTTCCTAAGTGGACAAGATACCTTTTGTTTGCAATAACTTAGGCAAACAGCAGGTAGTTAGAGAATAGCTCTGAGGGGACATGAGCCCTGATTAGATGCCTGAGGAGTTGAGTGCTCCTGTGCTGAAGAGAATCCATCACATTTGCCCCTTTGTTCTTGGCTTAGCCCAGAAGAAGGAGAGCTGAGCTAAGTGCAGGACCAGTCTTATTTATTTCCCTAGTTTCAATTGCAGAAAAAGAAGGCAATTCAGCCTTTGTTCTATCAGATTGGAAAATACAAACAGCTCTTAACATTTCTCCTTTTGTTTTTCAGTCTTCCCTGAAAAAAGAAGAGAAAGAGAAATGAAGAGTCAGAGCTATCATTTGCCTGTCTTTTCTGTTGGTCTAAAATCACCACTATCCAAGAAATACACATTCCTGGAATATTTGACTCCTTTTCTCTGTATTTCAATTAATAAAAAGAAAAACAAATATATACTGTTGTTCTGGACTGTTATTTCCCTCAGGTATATTATCATCTTGAAATTTTGGTGGGCTTTGTGAGAATTTCAGTATTTTTTCTCTTATTCCACCTCTCATACCATCCTAGAGGATTTCTAGTTCATTGTGAGCTAGCAAATGGAGATAAATACTAAAACTCTGCTGAGTTGTGGAATGATTACTATCATTCAAAGTAACATTTTAACATCACAATAATTCAGAATAAAACAACAACAACAACAATAACCACAGCTTCCATTACTGCTGGCTAGAAAGGGACTCTGGGACTCTGTAAAGCCCTGTGAGGGACAAAAGAGAAAGTGATGATTTTCAGCTGGAAAAACAAACAACCTAGGGGATATTTAGGACAATGTAGAGGAAGGCACATGAAGGGTGTAAGAATTTGGGGGAAGTATTATTGGAAGAAGGATAGGCCATCCGGAGGAATGGAGACAGTTGGAGTGACTAAGGGATATTAACTTGTTGACGTACAAAGGGGGGGGATGGTGAAAGTTCCTCAAATGAGTGCCAGGCCGCTTCTTCCTGTTGCCAGACATAATTACTTACATCATCATTTTGTCTGTCAATTACAGTTGAACCAGAGCTTTGTCTATTGATTTATATACTTAGTCATTTCTACCGATGTTAATTTGCAGGCTTTGATTTTATACTCTTCATAGTGGTTTATCTTTTGAGTTATATGTTTTGCAATCTTCAGTATGTTTGTGAAAGATTCTGGTACTGTTAGATGGAAAGTCTCAGGCCTTTAAAAACCATATTCATTCAGGAGGCTGAGATGTCTTCAGCCTGAGCTGAGAAGTCTGTGAGAGTCCATCACTCATTCAGCAGCAAAAATCTAGGATGGTGGTATGACTCAAGCACCAGACATGAGCAAGAAAGCTGAGCAAGTGTAAATGAATACCTGAGTTCAAGCTCTGAAATCCAAAATAAGTATATAAATAAATAAATAGTCCTTAGACTAAGTTAAAAAAGTTTCTTAATTACTCTAATGGTTATCATATCGGATCAGGGGGATAGGACAAGGCACAAACATGACTTACCAGCGTGACATTAGATTGATCACTTGACTGAGATAGAATCACCAGGCTTCCCCAGTGTTATTACTTTTCACATTCCTTACTCCTTTTTTTTTTTTTTAATAGAAATGAGTCATTAAATTCAACTTACATTGACAAAGAAGGAGAAAATTCATTCATTTGTTTTGAGGAGCATAAGAGCAGCATAGAAATGGAGGAAAAAATGGTGAACAAATATTGCAGTAGTACTCAAAAAACACTCTGTGGAAAACGAACTATACACCTTGTGGGTGGGGATGGGAGGGAAAAACTGGGAGAGAGGGAAGGAAGAGGTAACATTGTCCAAAAAAGAAATGTACTTTTTAACCTGATTTATGTAACTGTAACCCCTCTGTAGATCACCCTTATAATAACCATTAGAGAAAGAAAATGGAGAATTAGTACAAGTAAGCTTCTGGAAGGGAAAGTATCTACATGTTTTATTTAGAATTCTTCTAAAAGTTTTCATTCATTATGTATTTGTTTAATTCATATCAATGTCAACTCACATACATTTTTGGGCTAATACTGTGGCCTATAATTTATTTATTGTTATATTGTATATTCTGTTGCTCCAATGATTCCAGTGTTGGATGTTGGGGTTTCTTTTAGGTTGCCTCCTGTATCTTTTTGAATAGGTATTACTCGCTGGCAGTACCAGATGCCACTGGCTCATCTTGTAGTTTCCTTTCCTCAGCCCTTAGAACATCCATTTCTTCAAGCAGGCCTGGTTCCTTTCATTAAAGGTATTACAAAGATTTGAGCACTGATGCCAATGAAGTTTCAAGACATCTAGACCTCTTCAGGATAAAAGTTAAGAAATGTATGTATATATATATATATATATATATATATATATATGTATATAAATGTAGGCACATATTATTTATATTTATATATAAATTTATATATGTACACACACATACATAGATATATATGCCATACCTATGGAGACACATTGATATTTTTTCTGTTTCTTTTTTCAGTTACCTGAGCAATAATTTATTTATTTATTCTTCATCTCCACTCAGGTAACAGAATTTTTTTAATTTCAAATTTCGTTATCATTTACTTAGTTGATATCTAGACCCCAGGGAGTAGTTCCATAAAAAGTTGGCCTTGAAATCTCAAGAGAATAGAATTAAGAAACAGTGTCACTGGGGAATAAGGAACTATATGCCTGTAACAGAAAGTAACAGAAAAGTAACAGAAAAAGAAGTCTCTCCTACTTGGCTGGGAGAGGTCTTTCCCACCTTAACTAGAGCACTTTGACTGGGGACTTGAAGAGTCACCAAGTTGAGTAACAGGAGCTACAGACTTCTGTAAGTGACCAAAAGAACATGAGCCCAGCAGCTCCACACTCAGTTTCAGCTGTATTTCAGGTAAGGTGAGTCTAGTCTTTGGTGTGGCAAAGCAGAGGCTTCAAGGAATAAACTGTAGAGTGTAGTCCCAATGGCTGTCAAGAAGAATATGTGTAACATTTAAGACACCCCTGTTCTGTGGGAAATACTTGGGTGTGAATTCAGGACCTGTCTTTCTATGTAAAGCCTCAACCACTTGAGTCCCATCTGTATTTCTTTACGAATGGGGTGATGCCATTATGTCTGATGGAAGCATAGAATCCCAGTGTACATATACTACATTTTCTTGATCCATTCATCTATTGAGGGGCATCTGGATTGGTTCCATATCTTAGCTATGGTAAATAATGCTGTAATGAACATAGTTGTGCTGGAAGCGCTAGTGTGGCCTTACTTGTGATCACTTGCTTGTGGCCTTGCTTATTCAGGAGTGTGATTGCTGGGTCATAGGGGAGTTGTAGGTTTAGTCTTTTGAGTAACCTCCATTCTGCTTCTTAGAGTGGTTGAACAAGTTTACATTCCTGCCAACAGTGTAGAAGTGTTCCCTTTTGGCCACATACCTTCCAGCATCTGCTATTTGTTTTCTTGATAATGGCCATTCTAACTGGGGTGAGGTGGAATCTCAATGTGGTTTTGATTTGCATTTCTTTTATGGCCAGCAATGTTGAGCATTTCTCCATGTGTCTATTGGCCATTCTTATTTCTTCTCCAGTGAAGACTTCTCCCTCCTTTTTTTTTAAAGTATACTGTAAATTTAATTTTATTGAAAAAGTGAAAATTTTATTGAAAAATTTTTATGAAAAAGTGAAATTAAATAAATACACTAATATGTGGCAGGGAAGGGATGATAGCGGAAAAACAAAGGAGGAAGCAGCAATGCCTGACAAGAAATGCACTCACTTCCCTGGTCATGCAACTGCAACCCCTCTGCACAGCACCGCCACAACAAAAAATCTTATTAAAAATAAATAAATACACTAATGTTCAAATTTATTCTTTAAAGATTCAAATAAAAGTAATTATGGACAGGCACAGTGTTTCAGCCTTCTAACTGAGCTATTTGGGGAGCAGATCAAGAAGATTGAGGTTCAAAGCCAACCTGGACAAAAAAGTTTACAAGAGTCCAACTCAACAATAAAAAGCCAGATGCACCTATTATGTCAGCTATGTAAAAAAGCATATATAAGTAAACTGTGGTCCATGTGAAGCTAGGCATAAACATGAGATACTATCTCAAAATAACCAAAAGGGCTGAACTTCTAGCTTAAGATGTAGAGTGCACCTAGCATGTGAAAGGCTTTGAGTTCAAGCCCCAGCATTGACTATGTACCTATCTGTCTGTCTGTCTATCTACCTATCATCTATCATCTACTCATGATAGTTTTCTGTTCTCCAAACAGAACCATATTTCCATCTAATTGGAAAAAAATTTAAACAATGTTTAATTATGTGATAGTTTTTCAGTTTATTAAAATAAATAAAATAAATGTATATCATCTAATAAATTTAGACTATAGCCAAGATTTTTTCAGTACATTTAATACTATTATTCAGTTATATTAGTCATACAGAAGCTACATGAGTTCTAACTTAACTTGGTTCTCCCTCCTTTTTATTGAAGATGGATGACAGATGAATTTCTTGAGTCAAAATTTACTGTGAGGATGAGAATGAAACGCTGATGACAGGAGCAGAAATGTGTTCTGGCCCCTTTTATTATTTCTTTTGTAATGAAATTAAGAGACCATAACAAAAATCTCACAAATTTCTTCCCTCCTACAGAATACCAAAGAACCTTTTTTTTTTTCTTCAGATAAATTTGCAAATACAGACGGCTTCCTGGATGTGTTACAGTTTGCTTAATAATCACAGGCAGTGATTCTAGCTTTTAAAATAGAATATCTACTACGAGAATAGTGTACGATTCTGTGGTTGTGTGTGCGTGTGTATCTTAGTCTGCTCAAGCTGTAGCAGCCAAACGCCATGGCCTCAGTGTCCTAAATAATAGAAATCTTTCTCATTTTGAAGGCTGGAGAAGTTAAGATTGAGGTTGTGGTAAAGTTCAATTTCTTCCTGGCTTACCTATAACCTTCTTCTTGCTCTGTCCTTCACAGCAGAAGGAGAGAGAGTGAGCAGGTACTTTGGAGGGTGACACTATATTCACCCAGATGACCTAACCATTACTTTTCCCCAAAGCATGCTGTCCAAATATCATGCTTTAGAGACTTAGAATTCCATAGAAGAAATTTGAAGAGATCTAAACCTCTAGTCCATAACACACTGTGAAATTTTTGTATTGTGAAGCTTACAGTTTCTAAATTTCATTTAACAACTGACCAGCATCCAATTCTGCTAAAGTTTGGCTGTCTGTGTTGCTTTAAAATGAATGTACAGTGACCTAACACCAATGGCGTATAACAGGTGGGACATACAGAAATGGTGATGTTATAAGGGCTGTGCCTTCATGATTCAAAGGACTGGGACTGTTACCAAAGGGACTGAAGGCAGTGCGCTTGTCCCCTTTGCTTTTACCTGGCCTGCATTTGGTGGAAACACAG